TGTGGTCTCTCACCAGCACTTAAAAAGTTAACACCACCGAATAGATTCACTCAGGTCAGTGGAGGGTAAAACCAGCATTTGGAAATGCTGTGAGAACACAAATAGTTTAAACTGTAGAAGAGGCCTGAGGAAATTACAGAGGGAAAAACTTTCCATCCAAGGTTCCAGTTGCCAAGGAGTTTGTGTAGGTTGCTGGAGACCTCACCCCGCCATGGCTCCACTGTGACTCACTGTGTCCCTGGGAAGCCTCGGACTCAGCAACCATAGAGAACTCAGAAAGGCGGCTTTGATCTCTCCGGGATAAAATGCTCCAGAGAGCCTGGGTTTCTAAACACGGATGTTTCTGATCAAATAGCACAGCCCGTCCTGTTCCTAGAAGTCAGTCTGGCCCGCCTAGGTGGGAAGGTGGAGATTAAAGAACACTCTGTAATGGGTCCCGGAGCAGCAGCAGAGGAGGGAAGGTCAGGGACACCCTCAAGTCGGCTTAGAGGACTGGCATGGTCTGGTCCTTCAACGTCACGCCTGCTACATTCCTGGCATCCAGTTCTGACTCTTCTCTGTTAGAGTTTGGAGGCCTCCTACAGGTAGAAACCGCCTCGCAGACAAAATGGCTTTAAGCTGGGAAGCTTAAATACGTTAAATATGTTCACATTTTACCCTCGCAGGTTCAAATCCAATACAAACTAGGAGCAAATATTGTGTTTTGCTTTTCCCCACAGAGAGGAGATTCCCAGTGCTGCAGTGCTTAATCAAACTCGTGCTTAGTTTTCTCACACATCAATATACATACATATAGGGGCCAGCAGGTGGCGTGGTGGTTGAGGCACTGGACTCATAGAAATAACTTGGGGTCTTGCTAAAAACTAGAATTTGGTTCCATAGGTCCTGAGCTTCTCCATTTCTTTCTTTCTTTCTTCTTTTTTTTTGTAGAGGTTTTCGCTATAGGGTGCGGGCGCTCGCCAGACAGAGACAGAGACAGAGAGACAGAAAGCAAGAAATCACCCCCCAGGGGGGATGGCCACACCGCAATCCCTTCTCCTCCATTCTCCTCTTGGGATCTTGGGCACGCATGCACACGCGCCCGGCATGAGTTTTAAGCCACCAGGTCCGGGACGCGAACCGCAGTCGACTATGTGGGAGTCCAGCGACATAGCCATTACGCTAACTGCTGGTTCCCAAGCTTCTCCATTTCTAATAAACTCTCAAGCAATGTTGATTCTGCTGCTCTGAGGACTGGGCTTTGAGAAGCAAGGGAATTTATTTTCAATTTTTGCTACTCAGTTAAATCAGCAGGAGAGACTGCTGTTTTTGTTTGTTTGTTTTTTAGAGATTTTTGCTATAGGGCACGTGAACTCACCAGAGAAATAGAGAGACAGAAAGTGAGAAATCACCCCAGGGAGGATGGCCACATTGCAATCCCTTCTCCCCCATTTTCCCTTTGGAATTTTTGACACGGATGCACATATGCCTGGCATGAATTTTAAGCTGTCAGGTCCAGGACTTGAACCGTGGTCTACTACATGGGAGTCCAGGACATAACCATTACACCATCTGCCAATCCCTGATTGCTCTTTTTTTTAAGATTAATATCCAGGTGTCCAGAGATTCAACTGGCCTGCAGTGGGGCCTTGCATCTTGTAAACACTTCCCAGGTGATTTGTTATGCAACCAGGATCTAGAAAACAGATCACATTTATGCTTTTCTTACTGTGAGTAGCAATTATTAATGGGTCAAAGTCAGAAATAACATTTAAACATATAGCCATGTACTCAATAGCAATGCCTTGGTCAATGTCAGACCACATATACAAAGGTAGTCCTCTAAGGTCGTACCATATATTCTAAGTGTGTAGTAGGCTATTCCATCTAGATTTGGGTAACTGCACTCCTTTTTTTTTTTTTTTAAATAAGGTTTTTGTCACAGGGCTCATGCCCTCATTGGAGATAGAGAGAAATTGTAAGAGGGAAAGTGAGAAATCACTCCCGAGGGGAGATGAACATGCTGTCATCCCTTCTCCTCCATTCTCTTCCTAGGATTTTGGGCATGCACAGTCTAATAACTGCAGTTCTTTTCTTTTCTTTCTTTCTTTCTTTTTTTTTTTTTTTAGAATTATTTATTAGATTTTATTTGTTCACTTTTTATTTTAAATTTGTCCAGAAAGGACAGAGAGAGAGATAGGGAGAGAGAGAGGGAATGTGAGAAAGCAAGCCACCAGGTCTGGGACTCAAACCATGGTCAGCCATGTGGGAGTGTCCAGCATCTTAACCACCACACCACTTGCTGGACCCATGACTGGAGTGATTTTCAAGCCACCAGATCTGGGACTCAATCTGTCATTGGCCATGTGGAAATTCAGCACCTTCACCACTATGCCACCTGCTGGCCCTTATGAGTATGCTCAATGTTCACACATGATAAAATCATCTAATGACACATTTCACAGAGTGGATATATCCCAGTTGTTAGACAACACGTGACTGCATTGTTTAAATGAAATAGAATAAAGCAGAACAGAGCAGAGCACATTATGATAGTGTAAGCAGTATTTTGTGAAACTTTCATTTATCTATCTGTGTGGATATAAAACTCTCAACAGGGAACCAGCAGCTATGTCACTGGACTCCCACGTAGTCGACCGCGGTTTGCATCCCGGACCCGGTGGCTTAAAACTCACGCCGGGCGCGTGTGCGTGTGTCCCCAAGATCCCGAGAGGAGAATGGAGGAGAAGGGATTGCAACATGACCATCCCCCTAGGGGGTGATTTCTGGCTTTCTGTCTCTCTCTGTCTGGCGAGCGCACGTGCCCTATAGCGAAAAAAACTCTCAAAAAAAAAAAAAATACCTCTCAACATAAAATATATTTCTGAGGATTACAGTTCAAAGTTATGAAAGTCTGTTGCAACTACTTAACTCTGCATTGTAATGCTAATGTAGACAGACAATATGTAAATGAATGCACATGCTGTGTGAAATTTGTATTTTATGTAATTATTATAGGTTATAAAATGTTTTCTCTTGATTGCTTTTTGAACTCTTTTTAAAGGTAAAACCATTCTTGGGACCAGCAGATAATGAAGCAGTTATATCACTGGATTCCCACATGGTCTATCACGGTTCAAGTCCCAGACTCAGTGACTTGAAAATCATGCCGGGCATGTGCACATGTGTGCCCAAGATCTTGGGAGGAGAATGGAGGAGAAGGGATTACAGCGTGGCCATCCCTCCTAGGGGGATGGGGGATGACTTCTCACTTTCCTTCACACTGTGTTTGTTTCTCTCTCTAGTGAGTATATGTGCCATAAAGCAAAATCCTCAAACTTCTACAAAAAAATTTACAAAAAGGTAAAGCCATTCTTAGCTCCTGGACTCACAACAACACAACCGTCTGGCCTGTTCGGCCTGGGAGACTTATGTAGGTTGTTGACCCCTGACCTACACTGAGATATGTTGTTTCCACCCTCAACTTCATTTGATCAGTGATAACCAATAGCTTCATGCTTGGTCCCCAGATAGTCTCCTATTGAGATTGGTTACATCATCCTTTGTATTTTGAATAAAAACACCTGGTTTTAGAGGTGAGGCCTTTCATGGTTGTCAGTAAAAATAATACTGTTATTGTTAAAACAAAGTAATATTTTGGGCTTTAAAAATCTGTGTCAAAAGCCTGTGTTCGGGACCAGCAGTTAGCATAATGGCTATGTCACTGAATTCCCATGTAGTTGACTGCGGTACGAGTCCCGGACCCAGTGGCTTAAACTCACACTGGGCGCATGTATGTGTGTGTCCAAGATCACAAGAGGAGAATGGAGGAGAAGGGATTGCAGTGTGGCCATCACCCAAGGGGTGATTTCTAGCTTTCTGTTTCTCTGTCTCTCTCTGTCTTCCTGGCGAGCACAAGCAACCTATAGCAAAAACCTCTCCAAAAAAACCCAAAAACAAAAACAAAGAAAAAGAAAAGGCCTCTGTTCAATATGACAATGTAGTTTTGCTTAGACAAACTGAATAACTGGATAGAATGCGTGTGTCTTCACACCTCGGGAGCAGCACTGCACTCTGATAACGAAATCCCCCATGCCTCCATTAATTAATTGGCAGTTTCTCATACGAGTATGTTTTTAAAGGTTGTGCTTTGCAAGTGAACAACTGATGACAAATAATCATCAAAAGCAAGTAAGTTCCTTGTGGGAAACATGATTCTTTCTCTTAAGACACCTTTTGTTCTTGAACAGAAAACTGAACGCTTCAGTGGAAGCTGCCGTGAAAACATCCCTCCCTTTTCTCAGTTACTTGGCATATTGTACATTTGGTAGTCACCTGTAGGAGCACATTTTGAGCTGCTCATGGGACTAAAATAATGAAAGTAATTTGGGGAGGATCAGCTCAACAGCACAGCAGTAGCACGCTGCTCCTATGATGCCAGATCCGTGTGGCAGATTGCGGGTTCGGTTCCCTGGTTGGCCTGTATGTGCTGGGCTTGTGCACCCATAATCCTGGCTGGTCAGGAATGTGAAAGATTGCAATGTGAGGCCCCATTGAGGTTAGTTGTCTTTCTCTCAGTCTCATTCCCATGAAAAAAAAAAAACCAAACAGACTATGTATCTATAGTCATAGAAAGAAGGCTGGCCCTGTAGCACAGTAGTTAAGTGCTGTGCATCAGAAGCTGGATCTCACATAACCAACCATGGTTTGAATTTTTTTATTTATTTATTTTTATTTTTTTTTAATTTATTTTTATTTTATTTATTTATTTTTTTTTTATGGTTTGAATCTTATACCTGGAAGCTTGAAAAATATGCTAGACATATGTGCATGCATGTCCAAAATCCTGACAGGAAGGAAGAATGGAGGAAAAAGGATTGTAGCATGGCCATGCCCCCTTGGAAGGCTCTCTTTCTCTCTGGCCAGCACACATCTTCCTGACAAGTAAAGGAAAAAGAAAAGGGAAAAAAAAAGTGGGAGAGGCTGTTCTACTTATTTTGGACACAATAATCAAGACTTACTGAATATCCACTGTTGTCTGGTACTCTGCTCAGCCCTTGAAGATATGGCAGTTAAAAATACAAACCATGACCTCTGAACTTTTGGAACTTTCAAGATTATAAGCAGATAATGGCAGAGGCAGTCCTCAGGCAGTTACAGATAAAACTGTAATTAACTTTGATAAAACCAAAGGCAAGTGCTGTGAAGAGTGTATTGTGGAGGGCGTAGTTTTTAACTAGTTGTTTGAAAAGTAACATTCGACCTGAGACCTACAGGAGCAGGGATTACTCCCTAGAAGATTGAAGAAGATACCTTACCAGACAGCGTTCCAACATGCTCTGAGGCCCTTTGCAACCAGGGCCCACAGGGGTGGGAAGAGAGTGGCAAAAGCCGGGACAGAGAAGTAGGGAAAAAAAAAGGCCGCATCGTACAGAGCCTAGTGAGCAGGTGAAGGATGCTGGATTTTACTCTAATGACAGCAAGAACTACGTTTTAAGCATTATTTCTACAGAGCAGTTACACAAACAGATTTGTATTTTTCATCTCCAAGGGAGTTAAAACTCATATGTGGTGTGTTTATCGTCAATGCCAGCAGAGTACTGGCAGATCATAGAACCCAGGAAACATTTGCTACTGCTATCAAAATAAGTAGCAATAAAATGATAAAATAAATAAAATAGAAGCTTTGGCTACTCTTTGGAAAATAGAGGAAGAGTGTGCAGGGAATGAAAGTGGGAAGACAGATTGGGAAATGTTGATGTGTTCCAGGCAAGCGATGGTGCTATTTTGGACAAGAGTGGCAGTGGTGGAGGTAGAGCCAAAAACCCCCAGTCTTTTAGAGCTAGAATTAACAGGATTATTGTCTAGGTATAAGGAAGTGGGGAAAGAGAAAAAAATTTTTTTAGAATTATTTATTTTGTTCTATTTATTATTATTATTACTATTATTGTTCAGTTTGACCAGAGAGAGAGATAGAGAGTGAGAAAGCAAGTCGCCAGTTCCAGGACTTGAACTGTGATCTGCCACGTGGGAGACCACACCACATGCTAGCCCCTGGGGAAGAAGGAAAAATTAAAGATGATTCCCAGATTTCCTTTGAACCCACTGGATAAAGGGGAACTTGGGAGAAGAGAACAGGTTTCCTGTGACAATCTAATCACTTTTGAAAACCTTTAGTTTGAGATGTCTGTGAAACCGTCAACTGGGGAGTAGACGGTTCTTATGCAGGCCTGGAAAGCAGAAGAGAAGACTTGGGTGAAGGCGTCAAAGTGCAATCAGTGGCCTGCACAGAGCTTTTCACTAATTTTTCGGTAATAAGTGTTAATTTAGATCTTCTCTGTATCAGGCTTTTTTTGTTGTTGTTGTTACAGGGAATACATAGAAAAATGAAAGAAAAAAGACAACAACGTTTCATATATAAAGTCCTTTGAAGATAGGGTAGTTACCTTAACCAGGATGTATTTTTATTCTAATGGCAACAGGAACTACTTTTTTAGCCATTTATTTATTTATTATTTAACCATTTATTTATTTATTTATTATTTAACCATTTATTTCTACAGTAGTTACATTCAGAGAAGCAGAAAGGTGTGCTCCAGCTGGGCACAGCAATCACAGAGTCCCTGGAGGAGACATGTGCTCAGGGTGTCTGAGTACAGCTACTTAGCACTGAGCCACTGAGCAACAACAGGAATGTAGGGGGCTAAGGAGCAGCTCAGCGAAGAGAGAGGGGTCTGTACCACAGGCCCCTTGGATCCCTTGATGTAATTTTCTAGATTCAATGGAAAGTCATTGGAGGATTTTAAACAGGGAAGTATTATAATTTGACTTAATATATATATATATTTTTTTTTTTGGAGAGGTTTTCGCTATAGGGCACGTGTGCTCACCAGAAACACACAGAGAGAGAGAGAGAGACAGAAAGCAAGAAATCACCCCCCAGAGGGGATGGTCACGCTGCAATCCCTTCTCCTCCATTCTCCTCTCAGGATCTTGGGCATGCACGCACACATGCCTGGAGTGAGTTTAAGCCTCCGGGTCCAGGAATTGAACCACAGTTGACTATGTGGGAGTCCATTGACATAGCCATTATACCAACTGCTGGTCCTTCAACTTAAATTTTAAGAAAATCTGTCTCTGTTGGGGTCAGCAGGTGACGTGGTGGTTAAGGCGATGGACACTCATACATGGCTTACCACAGTGTCCTGGACTTGGTGGCTTTCTTTCTCACTTTCCCTCTGTCTCTTTGTATGTGTGTCTCTGTCTGGTCAAATTAAGACAAATGAATGAATAAATAAAGTAAAAAATAAAGAATTAGTTTCAAAAAATTATTTAACTTTATTTATTTACTTATTTATTTAATTTGACCAGAGAAGGATAGAGTAAGAGAGAGAGAGAGGAAAGTGAGAAAGCAAGCCACCACGTCCAGGACTCAAACTGTGGTTGGCCATATGGGAGTCCAGCACCCCTAACCACCACACCACCTGCTGACCCTGAAATAAATAATTTTTAAAAAAACAAACCCGTCTCTGTTTAGTTTATATGGACCTAGGATGAAGCAGGGAGAACTACCAAGAAATTCCTAGGCCCGAGCCAGGTGGAGTCTGGAGCATATTGGACTGTAGTGTTGGGAGCCACATGCCTAGCTGTGGATTCAGAGCCCCAGGTTGGTCCACAGACTTCACTAGGCATGAGCATGGGAGCCCCAGATCCCTAGAAACTTGAGAGCTGAGAGGGGGATCACAGCATGGTAAGGCTCTGTAGGGAGTTCTCTCCACCACCGCTGCCTCTCTCCCTCTCTCATGTGTACATGTGCTATCATTAACAACAACAACAAAAAATCCTAGGGTACTTCTATTCATATACTGGGTTATCTGGAAGTCATGACATAGTTTTGCATAGAAAAAGACATCATGACTTTCCCAGTGACCTAGCACTATGCTGGAGCTCTGGGATGCACTGGCGCCCTCCAAGCGCCACATGTTGAAGGCCTAACCCCCGATCAGCAGGTCCTTGGGGAGATAGTAAGTCTAGATGAGGTCGTGGGGGCAGGACTTCACAGTGGAGTGAGTCAGTGCCCTTGGAAGAAGAGACATCAGAGAGCTTCCTCACACTTTCTGCGATGGGAGGACACAGAAGGAAAGTGGCCATCTGCAAGCCAGGAAGAAGGTCCTCACCACAATGGGACCATGTAGGGACCCTGATCTTGAACTTCCATCTACAATGCAGAGAAAGTAAGTTTCTGTTGTTTAAGTGATCCAGTTTGTTATTTCGCTGTGGCAGTCCAAGCAGACTATAATGCAATTAGAAAGCGGGGGGTGGGTGGGGGGTGGGGAGGGGCAATCTTTGGAGGATGGTAGGGACCAAAAATACCCTCTTACTCTGCGTTAGCACTGTGCCGAGTTCCAATTTCCCACGAGCATGAAAATAGTGAGTTTGCTTGGCACAGGAAGGCAGTGTCTATGGTTTTGAATCAGATTCAGCTTCTGAACAGTACAGACAAAAGCGCAGCCTCTGAGCTCTGGCAGCGTGCTTTCTTACTATCAGTTAGTTCCCCTTCATATTCACCTGCTCCCTCTGAAAAAGGCCCAGGCATAAACATAAAGAGAGCAGTTCCGCAGGTTGTAGGATTATCAGTTCTCCCAGGGGACTCACACTCCACCTGCTGCTATTTCTTAGCTCACTCTGGCCCTAACCGTCTACTGATGAGGGGTAGCCCATGATAGGCCAATACAACAGAGAGACTGCGAGAGCCGTGTCATAAATTGGTCACCCGTCATCCTGGCTACGTTTTGATTATTCCTCAGTGCATTGTACCCGTGATAAAGAGCCATACCCCACCTGCAGACAGAATTCTGGTGCTGCTGCTCCTCGGAGACACCAGCTGTGAGCAAAAGGTATGACTGCTGTGATTATTACCGCTCAGGGAGCAACTGTGCCGACACACGCCCACTGCCTACCCCTGGACTGTGTAGCAGAGTGGTCTAAAGCAAACTGAAAATGAATCCAGTCAACTTCACATTATTAAACATTCCAACCAAGCAAAAGTGCAAGTAGGTGTCCTTACCTTGTTTAATTTTGTGACGATGCTTTGGGGGCTGTTCTTCCATGAATCTGCAGTGAAGCGTACATATGCTAATAGTCTAGAGTATTCCTAGGACACCAGCTTCACAGCAGTGTATTCAGTGTCTATTTTTCCTTCCACAGAGCCTGAAAAAAAAAAAAATCTCATTTTTTTCTGAATGTACCTGTCCAGTCTTCTTTCTTTCTTGCTTGCTTTCTTTCTTCTTTCTTTTTTTTTTTTTTTTTTTTGAGGGGTTTTTGCTTATAGGCGGCTGCGCCACCAGACAGAGAGAGAGAGACAGAAAGCGAGAAAACACCCCCCACGGGGGATGGTTACACCACAATCCCTTCCCCTCCATTCCCCTCTCGGGATCTTGGACACGCACATGTGCCTGGCGTGAGTTTCAAGCCACCGGGTCCGGGATGCGAACCGCCGTTGACTAAATGGGAGTCCAGCGACATAGCCATTACACTAACTGCTGGTTCCCCAGTCTTATTTCTTAATCGAGGTTACTGAAGAAAAGCATTCTCCCCCATCACAGTAAGTAAATTACACTGATTTCTAATAATGTTCCCAAGGCTGAGTCAGTTCCTCTTTAACCTTAAAAGTGAGAAGTGATCACAGTCCAGAGTCACTGACCAACTGACACTAGCACTGAGATAACCAGGAACCTGACAAGAATCTTCCAAGTCTAGGACTTTACTCTGGCCTCTGTCAGCCTAGCACAAGCCTCACAAGAGCAGAAGGCCTAAAATACTGTTCCCCAGATGGGATCTCCACCGTCCAGAATTTTCGAGTGAATCCTCTTGCCACCTTGTCTCTGTTTTCTCCTGTACCTTGTGCTCAGTGAACCCACTGAGATGTGAAGTGGCCTGTCCTAAAGATGAGGTTTGGGAGGCTGGATGGTGGGGCAGCAGGAACGTGTGATGCTCTGAGAGGCTGACCTAGATGAGAAGGCTCCTGGTTCATGTCCAGAGACGTCCCTAAGTAGGCCATGCATGTGTCCATGAGTTAGGGCTGACTGAGGCTGAGAGTGGGTCATGGCATCAAGACCCTGGCTGTCTTTCTGACTCTGTCTCCAATTCTGAATTTCTCTCGCCGTCCTGCCTTTTTAGCTCGCAGAGTAAGTAAGTAAATAAATAAATAAACAAACAAACTTAAGGGATTAGACAATTGTACAGCAGTAAAATGTGATGTTCTGTGAAGCAATTCCACATAAAAACATTCCTAGTTTAAGTGCAGAGACCTCCCCTAATACACTGCTTGTCCATGACCTGGGCCGAGTGAAGACCTGGGGTAGATTGCTACGTCAGGACCCTGTTGCAGGTACTGTCTCTCTATATATATACATCTCTCTCTCTTGCTCATGAAAGAGATAAATAAATAAACTTTAAAAGTCTACAACCAGCCAGGTGGCGTAGTGGTAAGGAGGGTGGATCCCACATGGCTGACTGCAGTTTGAGTCCTAGACCTCTCGGTTGAAAGACATACCAGGTGCATGGGCATGCATGTCCCAAATCCTGAAAGGAGAAATGGATGAGAAGGGATTGCAGCATGATCAACCCTCGTGGGCTGGAGGTGATCCTTCTCATTTTCCCTCTCTTACTACCTGTCTCTCTTCAGTAAGCATGCACACCCCTCTACTGTTTTTAAGAATCTTCTGAAGACTGGCCCCATAGCCAAATGATTAAAGAGCCAGATTCCACATGGCCAACTGTGGTTCAAATCCTAGCCCCTGTGGCTTAAAAACAAACTGAATATATGTATGTGCATACCCCAAATCCTGATAGGGTGGAGAAATGGAAGAGAAGAAATTACAGTGCCACCATACCTCCTTCACGGGGTAGTGATTTCTTCCTAATGAACTCACATGCCCTGGCAATTTTTTTTTTTAAAGATACTTTTGGGGACCGACAAATGGAGTCATTGTTATGTTGCTGGACTCCAATGTGGTTGATTGTAGTTCAAGTCCTGGAGCCAGTGGCTTGAAACTCACACCAAGCCCATGTACATGTATGCCCAAAATAATCCCAAGAGGAGAATGAAAGAGAAGGGATTGTGTCGTAGCCATCCCCCCCTGCGGGTGACATCTTGCTTTCTGTCTCTCTGACTCTCTGGCAAGTGCATGTGCGCTATAGCAAAAATCTCTCTTATAAAAATGTTCTAGGGGGAACCAGCAGTTAGCGTAATGGCTATGTCGCTGGACTCCCACGTAGTCGACCGCGGTTCGCGTCCCGGACCCGGTGGCTTACGCCGGGCGCGTGTGCGTGCGTGCCCAAGATCCCGAGAGGAGAATGGAGGAAAAGGGATTGCGGCGTGACCATCCCCCCTGGAGGGTGATTTCTCGCTTTCTGTCTCTAATGTCTCTCTCTGTCTGTCTGGCGAGCGCACGCGCCCTATAGTGAAAATCTCTCAAAAAAAAAAAAATTCTAGGGAATTTTAGGGAAATTTCCCTATGCCTTTAAAGCAATCAATATATGATATTTGGGGTCGGCAGTGAGTGTGGTGGTTAAGGGCACTGAACTCTCACATGGCTGACCATAGTTCGAGTTCCCGACCTAGTGGCTTGTTTTCTCACTTTCCCTCTCTTTCTCTCTCTCACTCTGTCCCTCGCTGGTCAAATTAAAACAAGTAAATAAATGAAGTTAAATAAAATAATTCTTAAAAAATTAAAATAATGTGATATTTTTCCAAGGATATTTCCGTAAAATAAGTAGTTATAAAATATCAGTTTCATCACATCTTGCACTAATATTTTTGTAGTATAAACAGAAAAACAACAACAACAACAACTTGCCATCTAAGCTATATAACTGGTCATCTTACGGCCAGCCCACAGCACAGTGGTTAAGGCACTGTTTACTGGAAGCTGGATCCTGGAAGCTGGAAGCCAACCGTCCAAATTCTGTTCTGGGAGGCATGCGAGGCGCACGTGCTTCCTTGGCTAGGGTCCTGCCCGGAGGAGGAAATGGAGGAATAGGACTGCAGTGTGAGTACACCTACTAGCAAGTGTAAGAAACTCTATTGTGAGGCCACATCTCCCTTACTTTGTCTCCCACATTACTTCTTGCCAGAGGAATATTTTGAACGTATTTTTACGTTCCATTGTCCCCTTGCTTAAAACTCCTCCACAGGCCTTTGCTGTCTTCAGAATCAAGGCAGGGAGAGCAGGAGTCACGCCACTCCAGTCTCGCCTTCCTACCTACCTTATCTTCATGCCCGCCTTACTCCATCTCAGCGAGTTTGTTTAACTTCTAGACATCACGATGTTCGCTAATAACTGTGCTTCGCACACTCAGGGTCTTCAGCCTAGCTTGCCCTCTTCCTACCCATTCCCTCCTGTTCGATGTTCCTTCATTATCCAGCTCCTTCTTTCCTCTCTAGGCTCACGTCTTACTATTCTCTCTAAAGCAGCATTTAGTCCTTCCCAAGCTTCTCTTAATCCTTTGAAATTGCTCCCACTTGCCTGGAGGCTTTGTACACACAGCTCTATCTTGAACTCTCCTTCTTTGCTTGGTCTGGCTGACACTTACCGAACGCTCAGCCTTCAGTTAAGACGTCACCTTCGCCATCCCTGACTCCCTGAGCCGTTCCCTGTATTAGCGAGGGTATGCTTTAACGCTTTCAAAGCACTGTACTCTAGGGTGTTTTTTTTAAAACCTCTTTTCCTATTTGATTCTGGCTGCAGTGTGTTGCTTAGGACACCGCTACCTATTGCGGGAAGAAACTTACTACATCGGAGTAGCTGCAACACAATAGAAGGTCCATCCCGTTAGACGTCTAGAACAGACGTTCCTGATTGTCAGCGGGCTGTCTTCCAGGCGTGAGTCAGGATCCCAAGTTCCACCTTGTGGCTGGGCCAGTTTCAATATATGCTCACTATGGAAAAGGAAAAGGAAGTTTTATGGGCCAGGGTTGCTGGTACCACACATGACCTCTGCCCACAAGCCATTATCCTCAGGCACACGGCCGCTTCCAGTTACAGGAGGGACCGGGAAAAGAAGTCACGTTGTGCCCCTACGAAGAAGGGAGAAGGGCCTCTGCTAGAACAAGGTTTGGCTACCTTGCTGTCACCTAAGCCTGTCCCAAACCTGCCCCATACCTACTAAATGAATAACTGAAAAGCAACAGATCTTTTTTTTTTTTTTTTAGAGGTTTTTGCTATAGGGCATGTGCGCTCGCCAGACAGACAGAGAGAGACAGAGAGATAGAAAGCGAAAACTCACCCACCAGGGGGTATGGCCAAGCTTCAATCCTTTCTCCTCCATCCTCCTCTCGGGATCCTGGGCACGCATGCACACGCACCCGGTGTGAGTTTAAGCCACCGGGTCCAGGACTCCAACTGCAGTCAAATACATGAGAGTCCAGCAACATAGCCATTACACAAACTGCTGGTCCTGAAAAGCAACCGACCTTTAATTCTCGGCCCAGAGCAAATCAGCAGGATAATCTATAAGACAGAAGCCCATGGAGAACCTAAATAGACTTAGACAAGAACCAAAAGGGATTATTAAGGAACTAGAAATGAGATCTCTACGGAATACTCAGAAGTTCTAGGTTTTTCTTCATGGGATAAAACAGTGAGAGGAAGAAAATGACTCATGCTCTCAGAAGTTATTGAAGTCTGGGACCAGCAGTTAGCATAATGGCTATGTCGCTGGACTCCCATGTAGTCAACTGCGGTTCGCGTCCCGGACCCGGTGGCTTAAAACTCACGCTGAGCACGTGTGCGTTCGTGCCCAAGATCCCAAGAGGAGAATGGAGGAGAAGGGATTACGGCGTGACCATCCTCCCTGGGGGTGATTTCTCACTTTCTGTCTCTCTGTCTCTCTC